AATCACCAAGACTTTTTGTGCACTACTTGTGCTATCTTTAGGCTTGATTTGTAATTTTTAACAGGTTGTACCTTTTATAGAGATTTTCACTAGTTGAGTTGCATTTTCCAAAAAAAAAATGCATACGGCTCTAATTCATTGAAATGTGTAAGAATGGTTGATGCATCAAGACAATGTAATGTTCTCGAAAACCCTAAAGAGTGAATCTTAATTTAACACTTAGCTAACAAGTATGCCCAAAATTGCCAAACAACATAAAAACTCTTTAATTATTTATTTTTTCGTTATTATAACTATTAGCTTAAATGTGTATATGCTTTATATTTTTTCATCTATACCTTATAAATATAAATAGTGTTTATCCTTAAATAATATTGATATATTTTATGCTATAGATTTAATATATATACATATATATATTGTTTACTGACAGAGATGCACAATAATTTATTGTAAGGTATGGTGAGAACATTTTACACGTCAGTACATAACAAGGTAATGCAGGTTAAAAATTAAAATTCAAATTGAATTTAAGAATTTTTGTAACAAATTAATTTTAAAATAGAAAACGTTCAAATTATAGATTATGTTGTTAACAACTCATCATTCTTGTCATCATCTTCAATTTATAGATTGTTCTTCCTTTATAAATATGAGTGAAAATGATTAATCAAAATATATTATAAACTTACAATGTCTTTCTTAAGTTCTTTCACTTATTTTATTTTCTCTTTATACATTTTTTTGGTCATTTCTAAATGTCACTGTGATGTTAATGCTAGCCATATCACATCAAAACTAGTGATTGATGCTGGTTCTGGAAGGCTTATTCCGGATACTTTTTTTGGAGCATTTTTTGAAGTAAATTTTAATTTCAATATATTTTAATATCTGTGAAGATTACATATAAATTACTATTATAATTTCATCTTATAATACATTGATGTAATATATATTTTTTAGGAGATTAATCACGCAGGAGCTGGAGGATTATGGGCAGAACTTGTGAATAATAGAGGTATGTATATTGTCACTTAAAAAATCATCTTTGAGTTTATTTTCCTAATAAGAGACAAATTTAATATATTTACTTTAAAAATTTATGTTACTAATTTTGTTTTCATTGTAATATTTCTTTCCCACTTCTTAGATCTATTTCACTATTTTAAATCTTTCGTAAATTAATGTTTCAGGTTTTGAAGCAGAAAGTTCCATTAATGGGACCTCAAATATTTATCCATGGACAATTATTGGAGAAAATCAATCATCCATTATTGTATCAACAGAACGTTCTTCTTGTTTTGAACGTAACAAAATTGCATTACGTATGGATGTTCTCTGTCATAAAAAATCTTGTCCACATGGTGGTGTTGGTATTTCCAATCCAGGTTTTTGGGGAATGGTGAGTATCAATTAATACGACATTTTATTTATCTTATGAAAAAAATAAAGTTATTTATAATATTTGTTCAATGTTTTATATAAACAGAATATTATGGAAGGGAAGAAATATAAAGTAGTGTTCTATGTTAGATCACTTGGTCCAATTAAATTACAAGTTTCATTTGTTGGATCTGATAATGGTGTCAAATTAGCTTCAAAAAAAATAAGGTTATAATTATATTTATTTAATTTATTATTTGAAACTACATCTTGTTCATTATTTTATTATTATCAAACTAAAATTAACTAATTATTGAGTTATTAATGAATGAATGCCAGAGCTTCTGGAGTTAATGTTACAAAGTGGAGTAAGATGGAAACAATTCTTGAAGCCAAAAGTACTAATCATAATTCAAATCTACAAATAACAACAACCAAAAAAGGAGTATTATGGTTAGATCAAGTCTCAGCCATGCCTTTAGATACATATAAGGTATATTATGCATAAAATTATTTTTATATTATTTATTTATTTATTTTGAGATTATTTAGTTTTTTTCTTTTATAAGAATTTATCTCATTAATCATTATTGGACATAGGGTCATGGTTTTAGAAATGACCTTTTTCAAATGGTGGCAGATTTAAAGCCAAAAACTTTTAGATTCCCAGGTATGGTACAATATTATTGAGTTGGAATAGCTTTAAGTAGTTGTTTCTTTAAAGGAAAATTTTGATTCATATCCATCTTCTTCTTTTTTAACTTTACTAAGTTACAAAAATATAACATATTTTTTTACATAGGTGGTTGTTATGTTGAGGGAAATTATCTAAAAAATGCATTTAGGTGGAAAGATACAGTTGGAGCATGGGAAGAGAGACCTGGCCACTATAATGATATGTGGAAGTATTGGACCGATGATGGATTTGGTTATTTTGAAGGACTTCAAGTAATTTTTTATGTTGTAAATATTAAATATTTTTCTTTTCAAATTAAAAAATATTAATTTTTTTTGTGTATTAAACAGTTATCAGAGGATCTTGGTGCATATCCAATATGGGTGTTTAATAATGGTATTAGTCACCATGATGAAATTAATACGTCTGAAATTTCACCATTTGTACAAGTATAATTTTCTTAATATTATTTTATTAACTAATTTTTATTTGTAATTTTAATTAATCAATTCATTGTTTTTTATACTTTTTATCATTAATTAATAGGAAGCTCTAGATGGTATTGAGTTTGCTAGAGGTTCTACTCAATCAAAATGGGGTTCTCTTAGAGCTTCCATGGGACATCCAAAGCCATTTGATTTGAGATATGTTGGAGTTGGAAATGAAGATTGTGGTAAATATAACTATCTAGGAAATTATCTCCAGTTCTATAAAGCTATAAAATATAGATATCCTGATATTCAGATCATCTCAAATTGTGACGGTTCTCAATATCCATTAAATCATCCCGCCGATCTTTATGATTTTCATGTAATAATATTGTTGATTTAATTATTAATTTATTTTTCAATTTTTTATTATTATTATTATCTTTTTTAATTATTAAATTTTAATTTAGGTTGAGTAACTTACATCTTATTATTGTTAATTTTTTTTCAACTATTAGATTTATACAAATTCTAAGGACATGTTTTCCCAATATACCAAGTTCGATAAAGCACCACGATCTGGTCCAAAGGTTTAATTATTAAATATATTTTTTCATTTATTTATAAAATAATGAATTATATTTTCTAGAAGGCAGATTAAACATTTAAAAATTTATTGATATAGAAATTTGCTCATGTTTTATTAATTTCATTTTATAGGCATATGTTAGTGAGTATGCTGTTTGGAGGGAAGATGCAGGTAATGGAAGCCTTTATGCAGCTTTGGCTGAAGCTGCATTTCTTATTGGACTCGAAAAAAATAGGTTAGGTTTTATTATATATAACATTTTCCGTTACATTTAGTTTATAAATTTTGTGTTTTTTGAGCTAAATTTTAATCATTTTTCAATTTTCTACAGTGATGTTGTCAGCATGGTTGCCTATGCACCCCTCTTTGTAAACACAAATGACAAATAGTAATTTTCTAATTTCTCATCATTTATTTTTAATTATCATTTATATATGTAAAGAAATAGATGATTTATTTATTTACTTTTTACATATGAAACAGTTGGATTCCTGATGCAATTGTATTCAACTCTTATCAAAATTATGGAACTCCAAGTTATTGGCTCCAACAATTTTTTATTGATTCTAATGGAGCAACCTTTCTTAATTCAACTCTCCACAACTCTTCTAGCTCAATTGTTGCCTCAGCAATTCAGTATAAAAATTCTCAAGATGGGAAGAATTATCTAAAAGTCAAGGTAAAACAACACAAATTTTTATCAAGAATAAATATTGATTTAAAATATTTAATTATTAATTAGTTAACTTTGCAACTATTGACTTGTGCAGGTAGTAAATTTTGGAAACTCGACTGAGTATTTAGAGATTTTAATAAATAATTTAAAATCAAATGTGCAACAATCTGGTTCATCAAAAGTGATGCTTACATCCTCGAATAAAATGGATGAAAATTCTTTCTCCGAACCAACAAAGGTACACTTTATGTTTTAACGCAGTATGTAGCTTGTCATACGTATATATGGTGATTTTTTGAAATCAATTTCTTTATGTTTTAATTTAAGTTTTATTTTGATAAGTTGTTTTAATTTATGGTTAATCAACATTGATTATATAAAAAATTCTAATACATGATTTTGTTTCATTTTGTATATGTACAGATTGTGCCCAAAAGAACTTCACTTGAAAATGCAAGAAATGACATGAATGTTGAACTTGCTCCCTATTCAGTTACATCATTTGATTTATTAATTTAAAACACTATGGTGGAATATTTTTTAGAAAGAATAAATGGATGAAATGTATATATTTATATTTATATTACATAAAGTATTTCTCGGCTTACCATCCATATGCACTGTATATATTTCTATTTCTATTTCTTTTCATTTCATTTGTGAATTTTAATATCAAAATTAGTATAAAAAAATATACTCAAGCCAAAAAGAATTTGATACATTACAGGTTGAAACCCAAATGAAGACAAGAACACATTACAATCTTGAAACATATGTGAATATTCCTTCTAGTAAAGCGATGGTAAACTAGTACTTGGAAAATATGTCTTCATCAAAACTATAAAAAAATTAAAATATGGTGGAACGTAGAGAGGCGGTTAATGCAAGATATTGAGATAAACCGTGTTAGAATTATAATATCTAGTTTGTATTATATATATAGTTCATTGCATGTTATAGTTGATGTGGGACTTGTATATAAATATTCTTTAACAAAATAATACATATTCAATCACTTTCCCACAGTCAAAGCGAGAGGTTGACGGATGCTTAGACTAGTCTGTAAATCATCAAAGATAACTCTAGGGAGGCCTTTGGTGAAGATATCAACAATATGGTTTGAGAAGGAACATGAAGAATGTGGGCTTGATCACGAACGACCTTCTCTCGGATAAAGTGAATGTCCATCTCAATGTGTTTTAGGAATGAACATGAAGAATGCTGGATAGGATTGTCGAATAGGAAGATAGAACTAACATTGTCATAGCATACAAGAGTATCCTGGGAAATAGGAAAATTAATCTCCAACAGAAGGTTGCAGATTCAACATGATTCTTAAACTTCATTAATAATGCCCTGGTACTCACCCTCTGCACTAGAACGGGAAAGTGTGGGTTGTCTCTTGGAAGACCATGCATTTAGGTTCTAAAAAAAACACAATAACCCAATGTAGATCGACAAGTGTCGGGACATCCACCCCAATTAGCATTTATGCAGGAAATAAATTTCTTGATGGGAGAAGGATAGAGATGCAAACCATATTGTAATGTGCCTTGAATGTAATGTGGGATGCGTTTTAGTGTAGGCACGTGCTCAATGCAGGGAGCATGCATGTAAAGACACACATGTTGGACAATATATATAGGAGATGCCGAGACGGGTAAATGTGATTTACTTCATAGTGTCAAGGCTCTGATATAATGTAGGATCATCATATGGAGTATGGGAAGATGTATTTAGATTTTGCTTGGTGTCAACGGGAACAGAGGAAGGTTTTCATGAGGCCATGTCTGCTCGAGCAATAATATCATTAGTGTAGGTACTGTGACTAAAAAATAGTCCTTCTGCATGTCGTGTCACTACAATACCCATAAAATAGCCCAGCGGTCCCAGATCATTTATAGCAAACTCATAGGCAAGAAGCCCATGATAGATTTACATAGGTCATGAGAGGAACTGGTGAGGATGATGTCATCAACATAAAGTAAGATGTAAGCCGTGTCGGCGCCACGATGGTAGATGAAGAGAGAGTGATCAAAGGTATAATAGTGAAATCCAATGATGAAGGTATAGTCAGCAAAATATTGGTACCAGGAACGAGGTGCATGCTTCACACTATTGAGAGATTTTTGCAAGCGACACACATAATCTGGGTGATAGGGTCGCGGAAACCCAATCGTTGATGTATATAAACGGTTTCATGAATATCTCCATGAAGAGCAAACGAGCGGAAAAAAAAAACCCTTTGACGATCTCTCTAATCACGAGTGTACATTAGAATTTTTTGCTTTTAAATGAGGTAATAAGCTCTTGTCCTATAATTTTTTTCTATATATAAAAATATTTTAATCAACAATATGTTTTTTACCGTATTTAAATATTATTTTTATTTTAGCGTTATTTATATAAATATTTGAATCAATGGTAAACCTATTCCCCGTATACAAATTTTAATTAAAAATCATTTTTTTAGACTTGGTCAAATCTATTTTTAAAAATGATCAAACATAATAAAATTAATTATACACCTTTACAATTACTTTTGATTCTTTTAAAATAGAAACAAAAGATAGTCGTATCAAATTTTTAAAGTATACATATTTTTTAAATTTTAAAAAATAATTATAAATAGAACTAAATTAAATATAGTTATAGTCAATTATACAACATAATTAAATAGAATTAAATATTAGTATTAAAATTAATTATGCAAAAAAAATTAAGTATTGTTATAACAAACTTTAATAACAAACTTAAATATAAAGATACTAATAAATTTTTATCACATTTCTAATATTCTATAAAACAAATGCACATAAATAATTTAAATAATCTTATTTGAAGTTTCTTCAACTTATAAAATCAAAATATAACTAAGGTGGAGCAATTGACAAATTCTGTAATAGAAGTAAAAAAACTTAAATTGTAGTTATCGTGCATAAACACATTAAAATCCTTTTCTCGATAATTTCTCTTTTGCAAGCAAAAACATGAACATTTTGGTCTCAACTACAAACCCATGCATCTTTGAACATATCATCCTACAATTACAAAACATTTTGATTGTTCGGTAAGCTTTTCAATCATTAAACACTCTTAAATCAAAAAGGTTTGATAACGTAAAAAAAGAATCTTGAACAAATTCAATAAGATTTATATATTGAATACAAAACATTTGCAACATCATACTTCTTTTACTTAATAATTAATAAACTTTTATATTATCATACAATTTTAATATTATTTAATTTAAAATTTACTTATTTAATAATAATATTATCATAAATTTCATTTAACATCATTTATTTAAGATAATAATATCAAATATATATGACATCTTTATTAATAATAAAAAGACTTTAAATTAAGTATTAAATATATTTTTGATCAAAAAAATAATATTTTGAATTATTACAAAAAAAAACTTTAAACTTCTATTAGAAATTGAAATAATAGACATAAGAAATATTTGATATTTTATTAGACTAATTGAAGTTTAAATGCACATAAACATAAATATAAAATAATAGATTTAAGAAATATCTTCTAATAAAAATATACAATTGAAAACAAATACAAAATATAATCAACTCTCAATTAGCTTATAATTCAAATCACACCAAAAAAAAACACGATCAAAATAAAAGAAAATTGAATATAGAATCTAACATTTGTATCATAGTGTAGAAAAATCAGAGGAAAAGTTGGAAACAACCTGAATAGCAGAAGGATTGCGTGAACAACATAAGTTTTGAGTTAAGTGGCTGTACTAATGTTCAAATTTCTAAGCTCATCTTCTTCATTTACTCTTTAATGAAAACATGTCCACATCCAACAAACCAAAACAAATCTTAGCTTAATTCCAAGGAAAATTAACTACCATATTTTGTTTGAATATAAAAGAAAATCAAAAATGCTCAAGTGTGTTGCTACGGTCAAATTGGATGCAATACCACCAGCACTCAAGGTCATGATAAAATTCTACATTATGTTTCAACATTATATCTATTATCAACAACACCCTGAGTGGACCGTAAAATGCTTCCATTCAACGTAATGCAAGATATTCTATATTGTAGTTAATGATATATTTTAGCTCATACCGATGCATTTTACATATATCAGTAGAGTACAAGTTTAAAATTAATTTACCTTCTACAAAGAGTAGTATATAAGATCTAAGAATGATATAAATTGGCTAAAAACAATTCATTTTATAGAGATACCTCTTTCAATCGTGAATGCTCATTACTGAAACTTCTTCGGATTATTACAATATGTGACTGCAAAACGTGAAGGCAAGAAAACTTCAAGTAATTTTCTATGCACTTATAAAATGTGATCCACAATATTTTTACAGCTCCGAAAAATAAAATAAGATATAAAATCACCAAAGCTTGAAGATAAAATTGTGATAGATATGAGACTACACCTCCTTCTTCAAGTTACTGAAGTTTTTTCCTCTTCGGACTAACATTTTTTTATACTCCTTCAAAGTTTTAATTTAAATTTGTGAATTTTGAATACTCCAAAATAGATTTAGAATCATAAGACAAACAACATTTAAATTTAAATTTTATTATTACAACAGTCATAAATGTTATCATGTCTATTTAAAAATTATTAACCATGTGTTATATCTTTATTAAAATGAACATCAAATAAATAAATATTATTTATTAAAAAAGGACATCATGTAGTTTTTCTAGTATTATATTCGAAACACGAAAACCATTTTTTCAATTCCTCCTAACCAAACAAACCCTTAAATCAAATTCCAATTCAAATGCCAAAAACCTATTTTCTCTCTTAGAACACAACGTTTTCTTCTCCTTCATTGTTACCAAAAAAACATTTTTTTTATCCTAGCCAAATAAATCGTACACTTTTCTCTCTTACCAATTCAAGTGAAAAAAACATTATTCTCTATCTCTCTCTCTCTCTCTCTCTCTCTCTCTCTGAAACAATTAACCTTTCTTTCTATAAAAGACATTTATCTCTCATAAAAACACAGGTTTTTTTGAACAAATCAATAACAAATTTTTCATTTCTCATATTCATTAAAAGAAAATAAGAAACGATAAATTGGAATAGAGCTAAACCTCTAAGCTTCAATGGTTTTGGTGGAACGGAGATAGTTGTGCAACTCGGAAAAAAAAGGATAGCATGCATTGGCTAGAACTGTGTGGAGGTTCATCAGATATTTTTAAAAAGTTATCTGCACTTTTTAAGTCAGGTCGATTGCACTTATTAAGTCAGGTCTGGTTATCCGATTAAAGAAACTTGTTGATGTTTGAAATTTGAAAAACTGTTTGAAATTTGAAAATTATTCCGTACATTTTAAATTAGGTATCCGTTTAGAAAATTATAGAAGTCATGTATATAATGCAAAATTGTGTATTTTCATGAACCATTGTCATTCTAAACTATTATAAACCTTCATGAAAATGTCTCAAGCTTTTACATCAATTCATAAAGGTATCTTAGGATGTATTTAAGTCAAAATATATTATTTTTCA